AACAAATGATTGATGAATTTAAAAAATCTTTGGTAAATTAAAATAATTTTTTTTTGTTTTTAAAATTTAATTTTCAGGATATTTCTCAAGATCAATATTTAATTAATTTTAATTGTTCAACGAATAATAAATGTTTTACCAAGGAAGAGCGCTTGGAAATTTATAAACAAAGCACTTTTGCAATAATTATTCCATATTTTAGCTATGGGTGTTTTAAATGCCGTTCCCTGTTATGGACTTGATGGCCAATTTATTAGCAATACTGTTGTTAACTATTTTTTTCAAAATTTATCTGCTAGGTATTTTTTTAATTATTCAAAAAATTTTAAAAAATTATTTTTTAAGTTTACGTAGACAAATTGAAAAATTAATAACATTTTGTGGAACTTTTATTCTTTGCTCAAATATTTTGTTTGGTCTCGTTAAATCAATGGCTTATTGAAGAATTGGAATTTAAAATGGAAAAGATGAATGTTTTTTGTTATTTCTCCCTTATTGTAACGGGCCTTAATCGCAATTTTTTATTTTTGTGCTTCGGTGACCGATGGATATTTGTCTTTTTGAAAAAGGATGAAATGGACGAAGCAACAAACATTTAGTCATTTTGCGGTTAAGTGGCCCGTGATCAATAATAGAGTTTGTTTGCCATTAAGGCGCCTCTAAATTTTAAAAACATTTTTTATTAATGTTTTACTTCATTTCTTCCATACAAAATTTATGTAAACTCTATTTCTCTTAATTCTCTATTAAATAATTTATTTTTAAATGATTCTCATTCTCTAAACTTTTGATTTTTTCCGTTACTCAAATCGGCTATATTTCGATAATAAAATTTTTTAACAAAATGCGTAATTAATTTTTAATGATTTTATTTATCAAATAATTTTCTTTAACTTTTTAATTCATTTTTTAATCAATTTTTAGCCAATTATTCTTTTGGCTGTTTAAATAATACTTTATTGGTAGACGCTTCTGACAAATTAAAAATGGAATCTAATGGAGTTAATTTAAATTCTGGTAGTCAACATTGTGCTACTATTAATGGTGGAAGTGACAGTTTTGGTAAAAGGTTAGAAATTTACAAATATATTTGTTGTCCGAAAGTTTTTCTGAGTTTTCATTAGGGGATAATATGTTTGGTATAACTATATAAAATGCAGTAGAACATTCCGAACTGTATGGGAATCGTGTAGGGTCGGTTACTATTCTAACTTTGAAGCCCTATAACTTTCCGATTCGGGGGTGGGGCCGAAAAAGAAAAAAACTAGCAAAGGAAATCGACCCTGCTCTACACGATTGTGCAAAAAAAAATGCGAAATTTTCACATACATTTTGTAATGTTCCCTTGTTAGTTCCTGCCTCTTAAAAAGGGTCTTTTGTTATCAGAAAATTTTTAAATAATTCAAACTTTATTTTTTACCTTTAAGTTTTTCAACTGATCAGCCTAAAAATTCTTTGACTGAGCCTGCTTGTGTTGAGCATGTTGTTCAATATAAAGAAAATTCTAGCGAGGTTTGCAATTTTCATGTTAGCACAGGTATTCTCTTAAGTTTACTTGGGTTGGGAATTTCTCCTGTTCAGTTGTCAATTTTTAATTTTTTTTATCTATCCCCTGAGATACTGGAGCATCCTCCTAAACTGGTTGAAAATGAAAAAAATTGAGAGAAATTCTCAAGAAAGTGAATTTTTTGCCTGCAACCACAAGATTAAAAAATTTCGCCTATGATTTAAAAAGGAATTGCCTTGGATTTAGAAAAGTAGGGTATTAATTAAAGAATCCACAATTAAAACTCATCTTTACACACATAAACAAAATAAAAAATCTATTTAGGAAAATTATCAGGATGGTGAAAAATTGAAAAATAAAGTTCATTCTTCTTTTGGAAATTTTTGTGAAGCTTCTCTTGACAAAGCTTTTTCAACTGATATTTATTTTATGGCCAAAAATTCTTTTGCTTTGACTGAAAATAATTGTGTTGACAATGTTGTTCAATATAAAGAAAATTCTGTTAAGGTTTGCAATTTTTGAATTAATACTTATAGGGATGTCTTATATTTACGGGGTTCCTTTCGAATGATTTCTCTATTCTATGAGTAGCCAAATTTTAACTAACAATAATTTTTTAAAGAATTAATCATTTATTGAATCGGGAATGTATGGGGTTATTAATTTAGAAATTGTCCAATTTATTTCCATTTAAAATATTACTCCTCATACACACTAAAACAAAATTTTATTTAGGAAAGTCATCAAAATGGTGAAAAATTGAAAAAGAGAACTCCAGTCTCATTTAAAAAATTCTGTGGACCTTCTCGTTCCTTGGTTCGTGCTACTTCAACTGATGATATCTCTCACATGACGATAGTTGATTTGTTTGGAATTTTTAAGAACAATGTCTCTTTACAACCACTTTTAGCTTATTTCAAAAATATTTATAATATTCAGGTTTGTTATTTTTTTCTAGAAAACAGACTTCGCTTATTGCTGAATTTTTTCAAGACAAGACTATGTTCACCTCTAAATATAATTAATTTTTATAATTGATTATATGTCTAATAGTCTTGATGATTTATACATAAAACCAGAAATGTCAAGGGTGAAAGATTTTTCAGATTGTCGTTAATCTTGTCAAAATCTAGATTCGAAAAAAATCGGGTAGGATTCAAGGGCGTATCCAGGGGTACAAGCATTTTTCGAATTACAAGCATTTTTTGGTCAGAAAATCGAATTTAGATTTTCGATTTTGACAAGATTTACGATTAAATGAAAAATTGTCTATTCTGTCTTGAGGTTTCTAACAACACTAATTTATTTTTTAATTAAAAATTATTTTATTTTGTAGTCAAACAACTTGATGGTCAAGAGTTGTGCTCTTCAAAAATACAATTTACAACCATTTGATGGTTTTGGTGTAATTCAGGAACTTCAATTCTTTCTTTATTTACTGGATGTGCATGAACAAAAATATTATCTATATTCTAATGGAGGAAATAATAAGGATTACAAAAAGTTTGTCGTTCTCAATGTGAAATCTTTTCAAAATATAGAGGCTTTGGCGATTTATTTAGACGAAGTTGACAGTAATTTTGAGGTTTGTCTGGTTTAATTTTTTATATATTGGACTTAGATTTTCTACTAGATTACGCGTTTTATCTGGTCGATCGATCGACCATAAGGGTACGTCAAAAGTATAGACTTAAGTAAACTGCGCCAAGCGTTCCGAACTCTAATATTTGCGCGCTTATTCTTTTCTGGAATTTTGAGAATTTGTTATGTCCGCAATTGAAAGTTTATTTTCATTTTTGTTCAATCCTCTCCTAATTCTTGTCCTTATCTCAATTCAAGGAGCTAGATGCTACTAGCATGCCAATGTCAAACAATTTAAAAATTATTTTTAGATCAGATACCCAAACATTTTTGAAATTGGAGGTGGTTATGTTAGTGGCGTTGAATTTATTGCCAAACTTTCAAGTATTCTCAGAAACGCCTACAAAAATCGACAAAATATTTCCAATTCTTTTGATGTTTGGATTTGTAAATGGTAACTTTTAAATAATTTTAATTAGAAGATAGCGTCAGATATTTAAAAAATTTTTTAGAGCTCTAACACAGAATAGGGTAAATGCGCAAATATTTGACTATAAGGTCAACTTACAGGGGTATTTACGGCGTAAATGTGATTGAACGCATAAAATTTTGTTTGAATACAAACATTTTATTGGACGCATGAGAATGTGATTGGACGCGTAAAGGTGAGATGGACGCGGAATCTGGACAAGAGCCCAATTGTATATGATTAGAGTCTGCGAGTCGATGTTATCCTGTCTCCAGTTTAAATAGATTTGCCAACAAGCCTTGAATTTCGTCCAAAAATTTTATTTTGAATTAAAAAAAACTTTAAAATTAAAATTTTGAATTAAATTTCTTTTTTGTTTAATTAACGAATTGTTTTTACACAAAATCAAAAATCTCGAATAATGTTTTTATAAAATTATTGACTTAATGGCTTTTGGTATATATAATTTCCTATTCTTAGAAAAGTGTTTAGGTGGAAATTGTGTAAAAAATAGGATTTTAATGAAAAAATAAATATTTTGCCAAGGAATATCTTTGAATTATTTCTTAAAATTTATATACTGTAGGAATCAAATAGTGTGCGTATATAAAGGAAAATAATTTCAGTTTTTGTTTAGTTTTACCTAATTCATAGTTTGAGAATTTTTAAAGTTATTCATCTGTTTACTAAAAAGTTTTTTTATTTTATAGCATTCTCAAACTCATTTTCTTGATGCGTCTACGTGATATTGTTGAGCAGCACGAACGCACGATTGCAGAACTGCAGGAACGTGATCGTGACATGACAGAAACCGTCCGTAATCAATCGAGAGCTTTAGACCGACAAAGCGAAGAAATCCAGACTCTACGAACGGAGAATGAGCGTAAGGACGTTGAGATAGCTCGCCTTAGACAATTGTTGCAAGGTGGGTAGTTGCATAAATATATTGATTTTACCGGGCAGTCTAAAGATTTAGGCTTGGGTCCGCACTTAAGTATAATTTATTTTTCAGCGAACAACCAGCCTCAACCGCCGCAACAACAGCTTCAAGTTATTCCAGTTCGACTGCCCCTCGTCAATCTTCCGCAACAGCATCACGCCAATGCGCCGCAACAACAGGCCATTCACGGCATTCCGCCGCAACAGCAGGCCGTTCACAACATTCCGCCGCAACAACAGGCCATTCATTACCCTAATCAAGCCGCTCCGGCCTTTGGACAGCAACAACAGAATCAACAGATTCTGCAACAACAACAATTTCCGCCTTTGCAGGGAGCTGATAACATCAATTTGGATGAGTTATTAAATTTTGACAATTTAGAGCGATGAATATAAAATACTTGTTTTTGACTTAAAATATATATTTATACATATACTTATGTATGTACTATTTAAAAAAATAAATTATTGAAATTTTGTTTTAACAATTTTTTGTATCTAAGGTTGCGTACTTATTGCTGTGTACCTTTTAGCCGCAGGCCTGTTAATCTTTATTTCTTGACTTATGTATTTGCCGTTTGTTGTTTTTTCGAATCTGTTGTCCTCTTACTAATGAAAAACAAATTTTGTATTAAATGTGGAACATTAAATACAGATTTAAAAGGATAGCCACTTTGAAGTTAATCACATTTTTGCTACTTTTTGCTTGTTTTATTTGCTCAACGTTTTTAATTTACAACCAATTGCCATACTCAAAAACGTTTGTAAAATTTATAAATTTGTTGAAATCCTCAAATTTTCAACGTAAAATTGTTTTGTTGATCCCAATCTTTTATAGCCAAAATACAAAATTTGAATGTTATGATCGTTTCCGCCCATTTGTTACTAACGAGGAGAAACGTGTCTTTCAATCAATTCGATTAGAACATGTTCGTTTACTGGAAAAGTTTGAACAGACCTCCGAGAAGTTAGATGCAATAAATAAATTGATTCCAATTAAAGGTTAAAAAATTTTTTGGAAATTCTCCTTAAATTTAATGAACTTTTTTATTTAAGAAGCAGAACTCAGGGAAATTCAAATTTTTATCAAAGAGCTGGATTTATCACGACGTGAATATAGTGATAAACGAAGTGTTCAATTAAAACTGCCTCATTCTCCTCTTGAAGAAAATCGAAGAGAAGAGCCCGAAAAGAAATTTTCAAATTTTAATTTATTTGAAGAAAGCATTGATTTTAGGTTGGAAATTTTTTTTATTAAATTTTTTATTTTTAAAAATTTCAGTCGTTGTTCAATTACTAAAGGATTAAAGATATTTTTATATCCTCTATCAAAAAACAGCTCAAAATTGGCGAAGAGATTTTATTTGGAATTTCAACATCAAAGCGTTCAAAGAATTACTTCAAATCCTGATAATGCCTGTCTATTTATTGCTTTTTTGGATTATGGAAAAAAACTTGAAAAATTAAATTATTTTGGGCTGAATGGAAGAAATCATCTTTTAATTGATTTGAGTCGGGAATTGAGTCCGACTGATGTCCAGGCTTCTATGCTTATTTCTTCCAAAAATTTCAGGAATTTAAGGTTAAGACTTAAATAATTTTTTTATTATTCTATAATGGAAATTTATTAATTACAAAATGTTGGTTAGAATCAATTTAGGGATAGGCCCATCCCTTAAGGCTGACATGAGAGTGAGATCTTTGCTCCCACCCCAGTTTTTAATTTTAATTCTCCCTTGTCTAATTAACCGATGAAAATCTCTGAAAGAAAAATTTTTTTTCAATAATTCCCCTCTTTTAGACACTCTATGGATCTCAACATTTTTATGTCTGTTCCAGATTATGATCCAAATCGTTTGCTTTATTTATCTCCACTTTTGCCTTTATTCAAAAAATATTTTGTTAGCTTCTTGGGAAGGAATACAAAACTTACAAAACAACAAATGACTGATTTTGATGAATTTAAAAAATCATTGGTAAATTAAAAATAATTTTTCAATTTTTTTTTAATTTTTAGGAAATTTCTCAAGATCATGATTTCATTAATTTTAATTGTTCAACGAATAATAAATGTTTTACCAAGGAAGAGCGTCTTGAAATTTATAAACAAAGCACTTTTGCAATAATTATTCCAGATGAGGATTCGTTTCAAGGTTACTTATTTAATTTCTTTAATTGAAACAAGGAGTCTGTTTTTAATTTTATTCTATTTTTTCTAACAATAAACATATTACTTCCTTTTTTCGAAATGAAAAAGTGTAAAAATTAATTTTTTGTTTCATCGATAGCCGAAAATTAATTTTAAAAAATTCACAATTTTGTAAGCCATTAAGTCTAATTGTAAGAGTTTTCTGATAAATCTCTTTCTAGCAAAAATCCAAATTCTTTAAATTTCCATTTTTTAATTTAGAAAATTTTTATGAATCTCTCGAGGCTGGAGCAATCCCAGTAATTTGTTCCCTCCACACAATTTTGCCTTTTGATGAATTTGTTGATTGGAAATTGGCAACAATTAAAATTCCACCTAGTCGCTTTCCTGAATTACATTTTATTTTGCGCTCAATTGCCGTTCAAGATTTGCTAGAAATGAAGAGGAAAGGACGTTTTTTCTTTGAGAATTTATTGGCAGATGTAAGAGGTTAGTTAAGTGAATTAAAATCTGCTTTTAAGAAAGCTAGCCCGAAAGACTTTAAATGCTGGTTTGAACTGAAGGGACTGACTGATTAACGTAAAGAATTAATTTCGTAGCAAATTCGATTTTTGTTGTCATTTAAAGAGTTACCTATTAGCTATTTAAGCTAATTCGAAGTCTTAAACCTGGTTAATAGGGTTCTACCCTAATTTTTAGGGTTTTACCCTAAATGGGGTTCTAACCTAATTTTTTTTCTAGCAAGAAAAGCTCCAAATTTGATTTAAAAATAAATTTTTTTATTAAGTTTTGACACGTTCAATAATTTCTTTAATGCGTTTCCGGCTTCAAATGCCAGATAATGATGAGGCTATTCATTCAAGTATTCCACTCTACAAAACAAAAAATGATTCTATTTGGGACTATCCTTCATTTATTTCAACTGCAACAAAGCCTCCTTATGATGATGAATATTTGGGACCTTCCGAAGTTTGTTTTTTTAGTTTGTAACTTTGAGCAATTTTATATATCTTGGTTAATAAAACGTAGGATTTATGGTCATTGGGCTCGGTATATTTTGAGGGGGATTCCTTTTCTGATCGTCAGAAGATAATTCCTTCCAAAATAAATTTTTTCTGCCTTTTTAAATTATTTTTTTAAACTTCTTCCCTATTTCTGCTTATTTAAAGGAAAAGATAAAAAATTTTTCTTTTATTCCCGGTTAGAGTATGTACAAAATTGAATTTCAAAGAATGCGTTGAGCTTGCCCCTTTTCCGATTTTTTAATTTTTTCAAAAATCAACAAAAATAATCATTTTAAAATTTTTTTCATTTAAATAGATGCCTGTAATGTCACCACAATATGCACATAATTTTACAACTTTTAATTTGGTATAATTTTTTTAATATTTTTTTTAAATTTTAATTTTTTAATACTAATTTAAGCATAACTACAAATTATGGAATGATTTCCCTTTTGCAACTTCAAATTCTCTCAAATTTATGCCCAACGACTTTCCTATGCCTTCTGACTCAGAATTTAATGAAGATGTTAGTTTTGGAATGCGTCCAATATTACCTGGTTCTGGGGTTGAATTTTCAAAAGCAATTGGTGGCAATAAAAGGAGAGAACATTTTACAAGTATATTTTTTTTGAAAATATTTTAGTCAAAAAATTAATCTAAAAAATATTTTTTTCTACCTGCGACCAAGGTTGAATTTTTTTAATTCAATTTTTCCTTTTTTTCTTTTGCGGATTTTTAAATTTTACGGATTTCAAAAATAAAATTATGGTTGCTTTAATTTTTTAGCGCCCTATTGTGGTCACATTCTCCTTTAATGTATATCCCCCCAAAAATTCGTGAAAGTTGTTTATTGTTTCTGGGATACGAATTTAATTTATTTTCATTTTTAGTAATAATAACAACATACAATCGTGAACAAATTTTATCGGTAAGATTTATTCTTCTTTACAATTTCGAATTTTTTTTTTGTTTAAAACCTACTTTACAGAACACATTAGAACGTCTTATTGGATTGCCTTACTTAAATAAAGTTATTGTTATATGGAATGATTTTAAAAGATTTCCAACATTGTCTGCATGGCCTAGGTAATTAGAAAATATTTTTTAAAATTTCTCAAAAATTTTTCTTTGAATTTTCAGATTGCGTGTGCCTCTTTTATTCATTAATGGAACAAGAAATTCATTAAATAATCGATTTATTCCGTACAAGGAAATTGAAACGGAAGCAATACTTTCAATTGATGATGACCTTGATTTGAAACAATATGAAATTATTTTTGCTTTTAGGTTTTTTTGAAAGTTTTTAATTAAATTCGTTTTTATATTTTAAGAGTTTGGCGTGAACAAAGGGACCGAATTGTTGGTTTTCCTGCGCGTTATCATGCACGATTTGGCGATACAGTTAATTATGATAGCAATCATACTTGTCAGGTACCAGATTTATTTTTTCTTATAATCAAACTTTTTTGGAGATCATCCCATGGAACCGGTCCAAGCAATTATAATGTGGGGAATGACGTCAATAAGAGGATGCAAATTTTGAACATTCAGAAAAGTAAAGATCCAAAAATCGATTTTTAGTAACTGTAATGAAGCCTTCTATGAAGGGGATTACCCTGTAACTTAAGTAATTTTAAATGAATGTTGGGAGCAAATTAAGAGAAAAACCCAAATTTTAATTCTAAAAGTTCATTCGAAATAGCAACAAATTTTCATCCTAAATGACTTTTTTAATTTTTAGTTTAACATGATTTTGACTGGAGCAGCATTCTTACACATTGTATTAATTAAAGAAATTTCATATCAAATATATCCTTTTGATTTAGTTTTATCTACACGCCTACACTTATCACATGCCTCAAATTATTCGTGATAAAGTGGATGAATGGACAAACTGTGAGGATTTGGCAATGAATTTCCTCGTGTCACACCTTTCCAGAAAACCTCCAATAAAGACCACAAGCAAGTGGACTTTAAGGTTTTTGTGGAAATTTTTAAAAAAATGTTTTAAATTCTAAAAAAATTTTTTTGAAGGTGTCCAACATGCAAAGAAAGTTTGTCAAATAATTTATATTATTTTGATGAGAGGCATAAATGTATTCAATTTTTCATCAAAGTTTATGGCTACAACCCACTTCTTTTCAGTCAGTTCAGGGCAGATTCAGTGCTTTTCAAAACAAGAGTTCCTTCAAATCATCAAAAATGTTTTAGATACGTGTAAAAATTTTTTAAATTAATTTAATCTAATTATTGAAAATTTCATATTTCAATGATAAATAAAAAAGTTTGTATCCTCTGTCGGTGCCCTTTAAACATTAATTTCGATGAAAATTCCAATTCCCTATTTCCAAAATTTTTTATGGGTTATCTTCTTATGGGGTCCAAATTTTGAACCAAAAATTCTTACCTAAAAAATTTAATCGAATAAATTTTAATTTTAAAAAATCGTAAAGTTCCATTTTATTTTATGACGAAATAATTCTAGAAAATTTTTAATTCGATCGGCACAGTCATTAACGTTTTTGCAAATTTTAGCGTCAAAGCGGTTTTTGAAATTCTCAGCATGATCATCCAAACCATCAGCAAAACCAACATTTCCTTTCAATGCTAAGGCTATCTATAATTTAAAGAAAATTTTAAAAAATGGGGACAGACAACAAAACCTTGGAAATAACTACTGCTCTCAATCTGACCAAATCTCCACTCGATAACGAAGAAGGCTGGCCCAAGAAGAACATTTCACTCACATAACCTCCCAAAATGGCCATCATTAAGTTTTCCTTATCTGTATTTGTCCACGCCTGCTTAGTACCAAAGTTGAGAAGCGTGTGGCCAAGTAAGGTTTTCTCTTCTTTCAAAGTCACCTTAATTTGGAGGTTAGAAAAAATAAAAATTTTAAATTTACCTTTGTCACATCAAATTCCAACAAGAAAGCGACGTAACAATGTCCGCTTTCATGGAGTGCCAGCCTGTTCTTTTCTTTTTCACACAATGGGCCGGTCATTTGACTTTTTTCTCCAAAACACTCCAATAATAATTCATTTTGGAAAACATTTTCTGTAGTCGCGGCTAATTTTTCTTGTTCAGTAAACTTGACATCAAACTGGAACCTATCAAAGTTGAAGTTGCGCTTAAATATAAATGTATTAATTTTAATTAATATAAGGGGGCAAGATCAGAACTAGTATAATACACATTCGGTTTCGTTGAGCAGGTTTAGGAGAAATATCTAAAATTATCTTCCGAAAACAAAACTGGCAAAGTTACAAAACGCCGAAATTCGAAAAACTTTAGACTTCAACTTTGATAAGTTCCATTTTGATGTTAAGTTTACAGAAGAACAAAAATTAGCCGCTACTAAAGAAAATGTCTTCCAAAATGAATTACTCTTGGAGTGCTTCGGAGAAAAAAGTCAAATGAGCGGTCCATTGTGTCAAAAGGAAAAGGAAAGGCTGGCACTCCATGAAAGTGGACATTGTTACGTCGCTTTCTTGTTGGATTTAATGTGACAAAGGTAAATTTAAAATTTTTATTTTTTCTAACCTCCAAATTAAGGTGACTTTGAAAGAAGAGAAAACCTTACTTGGCCACACGCTTCTCAACTTTGGTACTAAGCAGGCGTGGACAAATACAGATAAGGAAAACTTAATGATGGCCATTTTGGGAGGTTATGTGAGCGAAATGTTCTTCTTGGGCCAGCCTTCTTCGTTATCGAGTGGAGATTTGGTCAGATTGAGAGCAGTAGTTATTTCCAAGGTTTTGTTGTCTGTCCCCATTTTTTAATTTCCTTTGAATTATAGATAGCCTTAGCATTGAATGGAGATGTTAGTTTTGCTGATGGTTTGGATGATCATGCTGAGAATTTCAAAAACCGCTTTGACGCTAAAATTTGCAAAAACGTTAATGACTGTGCCGATCGAATTAAAAATTTTCTAGAATTATTTCGTCATAAAATAAAATGGAACTTTCCGATTTTTTTAAATTAAAATTTATTCGATGGGCACTGAATAACTTAAAATTTTATTAAACGAATTTTTTAAAGATTTTTTTGTAATAAGAATTTTTCTTGTTTTTAAATTTTTTTTTTATTTTATTTTGGAATTTTAAAATTTACTTTTATATCTGTCAATGAACTTTTGTCAATAAATTTAATTTCAAAACCACATTTCCAATTTTTACCGTGTCAAACTAATTTATTTTTTTATTTTAAAATTAAATTAATTCCCCTACCATGAAAATAAATAAACAAAACTCAATTATAGTAAAAATAAAATTATTTTTATTTTTAAAAGGAAAGGGCACCGGAATATAAAAACAAAATAAAAAAAGCTATATTAAACCAAAGGCTATATTAAAGCCTATTTTTTTCTTATTTTTGCCTTAGTATTATTTTAATTAGTAATTTATTTATGTAAAAATAATTAGTATATTTTTTGAATGCTCTTCTTTTTGCTTTTTTCTAAAGTTTATTATCGAATCCTAAATATAATTTTCTATAGCCAGGTTGCTTCAGTTGCCCTGAATCTTATCTATTTTTTCGAAGCTTTTTCCTAGACCTCTATATTTTTTTAACATCGAACTCAAAATTAGTAAATCCTTTTGCTAACCCCTAATTTTTCTTTTTAAAATATTTTTCTATTCTCCGAATTATTTTTTTTAGGATTTTCTATTTTTAAAATTTTTCCCCAATTAATTTTATTCTCCCAATTTTACGGTTCTAGTAAATTTTCACTTTTTTTTCTAATTATCGGACAAAAGTCTAGTCTAAAATATGGGTTTTCTGGATTGGATTAGATAACCGGATTACCCTATTCCTTCCTACAAGTCGAATAACAAAACTAATTTTAAAAGGAAGTTTTTTTAAATAGTTTCTTAACTCATAGTTAAATTCTGACTCTTTATTTTTAAAATTTTTACTTACGTTTACTGTCCCATACAAAATAATTTTTCTAATCTCTGGTACTCACTAAATATCAAACTATATTTCACGTATAAGTTTCCAGAATTTTCTGCAAATTTTTGTCCTAAAATTTTTTTTCCTGTTTTCCTCCATTCAAAACACAAAATTTTCCCGTCTATTTAAAAATATTTAATAATTTTCTATATTTTCCCCTATCATTTTCCTTTTAAATTTTAATAGAAAAAAATATTCTTTTTAAAAAAGGTTAGCAAACATTGGAGAATTATATAGAAAAAAGGTTAATAATTATTTTTGCGTGTATTATCTACTTTTTAATGCCGTCATTCCAAACCCCCAAGAGTAAAAAAATTTTTTTTATTTTTCCAATTTTTGTGTTTACCCATTTCTTTTTAACTTTATTTTCGAAAAAATTAAATTTTACACGAAATATTGCTTTATTGTTTTGTTTTTAAAATTAAAAATGATTTTTAAAAACAATTTTTTTATTAAAATATGTAAAAAAGAAAATACAAGTCTCGTGAATAATTAACAACAATATTTATTTTTCCGAACTTGAGGGAGAGCAATTATTCGAGTTTTGGAAAAATGAACGTGCATTAGGGCATTAGATTAACAAATCGAGCAGATATTAGTCGAGAGAGGGGGGGGGGGTTATAATTCGAAATATTGTAGCTAATTTAAATTACTTTTCCTTTCTGTTAATTTTAACATTTTTTCAACCTTTCACTGGAGAGATTTTAATTAATTTCGTTATTCCAACCCCTAATTTAGAAATTTGACATAAAACAAATTTTTAACCTCTAGTATTCTTTTTAGTTTCTTTATCCTTTTTTTTCAAATCTACCTAGGTACTAGATGAAAAAAGATTTTTTGCCTCACTTTATTTTATTTTCGACTGTGCTATCTGTTTTTAATTTAAATTTTTTTGCCGTTTGATATTTTCTTTTCTCCGCTATCTTTCTTAAATTATAATGAGGTGTATTATAAATTGGAGATATCCTTTTAGACAGCCTCTAACTAAATTTAAAAAATTTGGTTTTTAGATTTGGTTGGGGTTGTCTAATCAGGCTACCTCCTATTTATGATACACCTTATAAAGGTTTACATATCTAGCGGGGATGGGCTGTCTTCCGCTTCCGCTTCTTAAAACGCAACAAACCTCATCCCTGGTACATATCTAGTATTGTGTGTATTTTATAATGAAGTTCACTTTGTATTTTAAAATTTTTTAAAAAACCAACAAGACATCATTTCTATTTTTTAAAAAATTCAAAAATTATTTATTCCATTTTCTTTTTTTTTATTTTAAAAATAATAAAAAAATTAATTTACATAAAAATATTTTTAATCAAAAACATTCTAGAAAAAATAATTTATTTTTTTTAAATTAAAAAAACTTTAAAAAATCCCCCCAAACAATTCCAAAAAAAAATCAAACACACTTTTATTATCACGAGCACTTTTATTTTCTTCCCTTCTAGGCACGCAAGAAGAGATTAATAAATTTTTATTGCCCCATTAATAATATGAAAAAATATATAAAATCCATCCATTAAATTAATTAATGAACAGTTGTTTGTTTAAATTTTTTAAATATTTTTGAAAAATGAAAGATTATTCAGTGTATTTTCTTTTTTTTAAATTTTATTTACTCCAATAATTCAAAAAAACTCTTGATTTTTTTTTCATTTGTGTTCCTTGAAATTGCAACAAAATTGAGGTATTTTGTTGTGATTATTGTTGTGGCTCTTATGAAAAAATTTTTTAAATATGATAATTGCTGTAGTAATCATTTTATGACATCGCGTAAATGGCATTAAATATTTGCGGATAAAACTTGCAGACTTTTGAAGCAACACAACCATTTAAAATTAGAAATATGGGGACTTAAACTTTTTTTAATAAAAGAGAATGTAGAAATAGACCTTTTTTGAAGTCTCACAAAATTTTTTCTATACCCGCAAGTTTAGTCCAAGTTAAAACAATGGTTAACCAAACAACCAAAACAATGGACAAATTATTGTTTTACCCCCAACATAGGCCACATTATTTTATGGGTAATTTTATAATTTCTTGTTTTAGCTTTGTTTCGAGTTTGTTTTATAAATCTTGATGGTTTTGGTTTAATTCTTAGAGTTAATTCAAATCATAATTAAACGATGTCCTTATGTCCTTATTCCTTATCATCATAATATCCTTAATGATGACCTTATTATTCTCGCAATGAATATCATAATAATTTTTTCTATCATCTAAACTAATCAAAACTCCCTTTAGTACTACATAATTTAAAAAAATTATTTAAATAATCTCTTCTTTTTTTTCTCCCTCTCCCCAAACTAATCCAAATAAATATTTTTATTTACATTATAAAAATAATTATATAATATAAAATTCAAATTTCCAGCTGTCACTCATTTATTTTCTTTCTCTCTTTTTTAAATGGCAACCAATAACAACAGCCAATATCAACATATAAAACTTTTAAATAAAACTTTTATTTTTAATGCCTGCTGTTTTAGTTAAAATATAAGGGGGAATTATAAGTAAATAATCCAAAAAATTAATTTTTTTTAAAATTTATTTGAAACATTTTTTTGGGAATTTTTCTTTTATTTTTTGTCACCTACATACACTCTGTTCCAAAATTATAACCGCACCCCTATTTTTCTCAATATTTCATGCCCCAATCAATTTTTCTAAAAATTTTTTTTAATAATCTTGTAGGGCCGAGGTATAAACAATATTTAATACTGAAATGGATTTTTTTATTTATAGCCTTTGAATTATTTACATAACTTTTTTGAAATAAGGGTGTTCCAAAATTCCTCTGGATCTGGATTCTGCTTCTGAATCTAGGCAAGTAAACTGGACAGGATTCTTGATCTGGATCCAGACAAAATCTAGGACGATCAAAAAATGCCTGTATCTGGACTCTGGATCCAGGAAAACTCTAAACTGAGGAAAAATCTAAACTGGATCCAGACCGATCTCTACTATTTAACTTCCAAAATTTACTTATAATTAAAATTAAATTCTTAAAAATTTTTTTTACGAAAACCCACAGCCAACTTTGAACCAAAATTGTAATTATAAGTTTTTTAATGCTATAAAATTGTTGTTTTATTATTGGGAACTCGTTAAAGTTGCGTGACTTTACATAAAAATAAATGAAAATTATAATTGGTGGGGGTAGATTAACTGAACCGAAATCGAAACTGCGTGTCCAAAACAGGCCATAACCAAAAATGGTATTGGTTAATAAACGGTTAATAACCGGTGCCAACAACCCTAAAAGAAATCATTATCCTCCATTTTCTTCGTTCTGTAAGCGAACAATTTGTTGTCCGCAAATAATTTGCGGACGTCTGCAAAAAATTTTTTTTGCTGATTATTAAAAATTTTTTTAATTACAAATTATATACCTGATATTCTTTTTCCAGAAAATTTTTATAATTTATAAAATGTAATTATTTCACTTAATTCTTTAATTTTAATTTCCATTCATATATTTATTTTCTCAAAACATTTAAAATAAAAAATATTAAAATAATTCTTTTTAATTGTTTAAATATCTATTTTTAGTAATTAAATAAAACATTAAAAAACTATTCCTAATAAAGCTCATTATTTTATTAAAATTACGAATTTAATATAAACTCTTTAAAAAATATTTTTATTTTATTTTTCTTCTTATTGAAGTAAAAATAGACCGAAGATCTTAAAAATTTGTGTTTTTTGTAGTAAAAAGTTTTTTGTATTTTATCCAATCTTGCTATTATGTAAAGAAATTTATGGAAATCTGTTTAAACGTATTTTTTGTAGTCTTTTTTTGGACATTTTTCTAGTACATATGAGGAATCTAGCGGCTCGAATTCCTCAAGTCATGAATTTTCTGTCGGCAAAATTCCTAATGAGCCTCATAACGTCCACTCGGAATTTAACATTTTTTCAAATAAAAATAGTAATTTTTTCACATTGAAGATAATTATGTACATATATTTTTTTAAATTTCCTTTTAAATTTAGAAAAAGTCAAAAAAAAATTTTTCCCACATTTTTTAAA